ATAGATAGATAGATAGATAGATAGATAGATAGATAGATAGATAGATAATTGAAACCATGTAGATTCTTTGCAGGAAATATGTGCTAACACATTCAACCATTAAAAACAGACAGCTATCCAATTATGGAACACTCAGCTTAACTGATGCTTATTAATTCCTCTGAACTCATGAAAGCATGAAAAATAGAGTTCTCTGATGGGATGAATACTAATGTCAGGAAAAAACTTCTCCGCACTTTGATTGCTCTGAAAGTTTTGCATTTCTTTCTTATTTAAAAAGAAAAGAAAAGAAAAGAAAAGAAAGCCATTTCTTCTCGGCTGAAGAGGCCTTTCTCGAGACTTTACTGTTGAAATCACTGTAAGGAAGCATTGATCATGGCCGGCCTGTTATGTGGTAATCACTTGTGACATGGAGGTGCTGCATTACCCCTGCAGTGTGTATGGATTACATTTAGACTTGAACAGATTTCTGTTGTAAAGCGCTTATATTTAGAGTAAATAAAGCATGGCATCTGGGTTGTCTTTGACACTGAGCCAGCAGAACTAGGCCATAGGGCTAACCTAAACAAAACACTCCAATCTCTAACAATTGCTCTCCATGGCTCCCCAAGGGCTTGATTGATTGATTCACTAGCCAATCAGAGCACATTGATCACAGAATCTGGAACCCTCTACCTGCCCTCCAGGCTTCCTCTTAGGCCATTCATCTGTTGGCTGGCAGAAGTATTCTCCTGAGGGCTGTTTCTGTGAAGGCTCACACTTTTAAAAACCATTTCATTTCACAGTGCCTCCATAAAAAAGAAAAAGGAAAAAAAAAGATGCATTTATCTGACGTGATGTGATATACACGGGCGGCACGGCGGTGTGGTGCTGAGCGCTATCACCTCACAGCAAGAGGGTTCTGGGTTCGAGTCCCGGGGGACCCAGGACCTTTCTGGAGTTTGCATGTTCTCCATGTGTCTGTGGGTTCTCTACGGGTTCTCCGGCTTTCTCCTACAGTCCAAAAACCTGCATGTTAATTGGACGCATGTTAATTGGACGTTCCAAATTGCCCTTGGGGATGAGTGTGCGTGGTTGTTGGTCCTTGTGTGTCTCTGTGTGGCCCTGTGATGGACCCCGCCTCTCGCCCATTGACATTTGGGGTAGGCTCCAGTTACCCCCATTAGGGAATAAGCGTTAGCGATAATGGATGGATGGATATGACATACACAGGTATATGTTTATGCCCCCGTGTCCCGAGATATTCCTTGTTCGTCCTTGTGTGTCTCTGTGTCCCTGCAATGGAGTGGTGGAACATCCAGGGTGTACCCCGCCTCTGGCCCATTCACTACTGTCCAGTCCCCCTGCAACCCTATTGGGGAATAAACGGTTCAGAAAATGGATGGATGGGAATTACCAAAATTTTTTTATGTGTCATGGTTTATATTTGTATGAATGCGTAAGCTGTTTAGCCCAAATTACATTTCAAACATTGATATATGATTATTATGTTATCAATAAATATTCAAATACTCTATTTTCCAAACTAAATGGTAAAAAAATATATATTCCCTTGATTAGTATGTCAAATTATATTTGAGTACTTGCATGGTTGAGAAGAAAAAGGAAAAAAAAACTTTAGTGGTTGATTGTTCCGCGTGATGCATTTTTGTTGGAAAATGGAGACATCTGGGTATGAAAGCAAGAATAATAAATCCTAATTAGCTGAAAATGGTTTTGAAAAACAAAAATTTGAGAGCTCTTAGCAAACCGAACATGGAGCTGGATTCTCGCTAAGTCAAAGGGAAAGTTGAGCAGAATTTGGTCAATATGCTCTGGTCTATTGCAGAGAGCGGTATTCCCAAGATGAGCCAGAGAGAGATATAAAAGCCAAAGTTAACTGAACCAGATCACACTCACCTCAATATCTTTAGAAAAGATAAAAGAAGGAGGACGTGTGTAGATCCTCAGGCAGAAATGAGGGCTTCTAGATCAGAGTTTGAGAAAGTCTCCAGAATCAGCATTGGCAGACAAATGCCCTTTCTTTAGCCCTATTTTTTAAAAACATTGAATTGTTGCATGTGTGTATGTATATGTATATGTATGTGTATGTATTTGGGTTTGAAATAGAATATAAAGAATATAAAGAATATGTTTATATGCTGTTATATAGATGTAAACTGTATATTTGATAAAATTATCAAATAAAAAATTATCAAATATACCACCATCTATTTGGATGAATACAAATAACTGAATATATTGCAAGTATCTACACCAAAGAATGTTTAGGACTTGTTGATCTATGATATTTTGACAGTTTTGATTTCTTCAGGGGTTATTAGATCATTAATATCAGATGTTTTTCTACATGCAGTGCCTAAACACAATTCTCAGGACAAGGTTGGATAAGTTATCCTTATTGGCTTTTATCAAGCCCAAAAAAGGAATTTGCTTTGGACAATTATCTCTTTATGAATATATGCATTTGCTGGATTGCTACCTTTAACTACTGTAAACAACCACGAGGTTTTTTAATAGGGTGATGAAAGATCACAGTTGCATAGTGAGTTGTTTTCTAATCATGAAGAAACTGTCATGAAAGATGAAATCTAACTCCTCATCTGTTCAGCAATTTTCCTTTTCAGTTAACCTTATTTCAAAAAGGTTTCATATATAATTTATGTGTATGTTATTGAGGTATCTCTCTCATCTTTTAAAATTCCCTTTGTACAGGTAACTAATTTGATGTACTTTTCTTTGACAGGTGGGATATTCGAGTCCATTGAAAGCGGACCATCGGGTGCTGAGGAGCTAGCCTTTAAATTTGCTTTAAACACAATCAACAGGAACAGAACCCTACTGCCAAACACCACACTCACGTACGACATCCAGCGGATAAACATCTATGACAGCTTTGAAGCCTCCAGGAAAGGTACGTACTGTTTTGTTCCCCACCTGCCCTGTTGTAGATGGTCACGATTCTAATCCAGCAAGGAAAATGGCTGACCACTTCAAATGTAAACAAAGAAAAACTGATCAAGTGAAATATCATATTCTATATGTTTGTGTGTGCATTAGGTTGACAAGTCTTTTATCAATCACAGGCATTATTATATCATGAGAGACTGGGAGTAACAAAGATGTGTAGTAGTTTGTTTGTCTTCCCTGGTCATTGTGTATCTTTACCTAAGCCTAAAAACTCAGCTTTTTTCAGCGCTTTCTGACTTTCTTTTTTTTTCATAGCGCAGAACAGAATGCATTTGTTTGTAAAAACAACATAGTTGTTATAACTGGTTTATTTTCTGAACTAGACTTTTATTATCATTACTGTGTTCTGTATGGGGTGAAAACATGTTTTTGTGAAGTATCATAGAAATCTATAAGAGAATAACAATTCAAACCACTAACATTTTCTATATATATTGCTAGTGGTTTCACATTGTGAATTAAACTCTAATAGATTGAGATGTATGGAACCTGCTCCTCTTACTTGTCCCAGACTTCTTTTATTTTGACTGCTAGTTTAGTCTGTCATGCATCATGCAGTTCTTAAAATTGCAGCATTCTTAAATAACTGTTAGCACTTGTAGTGGCATTATGACACATAGAGTCGTTTCTTGTTTTTTCTACCTTCTACTAGAATTCTGAGGTTCTGTTCAAGACTTAGGGAAACAGCACTTCCTGTGGGAGTCATTTATCTGACACCCTGCCCTCATTTGGGTCATATTATTTTGCCATTTCTTTTACAGAAAGTCTCTGTTTCCTTTTAGGGGATTTTCTTGCTGATCACCATGCTCTGCATTGTATTCCTAACCATTATGTAGACATTTCTCGTGGACATCTGAAAGGTGTTGTAGGACCTGTGTAGTAATGAACGGTATACACAGCAATAAATGGAGTTAGATGAAACGGCTGTAATAACCGTAAAAGGTAGTTATTAGAAAATCAATTTTCTGAATGGAACCATAGAAAAGTAATATAGCACCTGAGTAAGGAAGTTTTTGTTCAGTTTAAGATCAATCGACAGCGAAAACTCAATTGTTGTGTGTGTTTTTCAGTTTAGTGAAAGTGACTCAGACTGTGAGTGTTATGTTGGGTCAACGATTACAAAAAAACTAACATTGTGCCCTGCTTGCTCTATTCAGAATGTTTGGTAGAAGGTTTTTTTTCTGTAGTGTTTACAGTGTTTTTCGTATTATCAGTGGGTTTATATATCATTTAGAGTTCACGGAAATCCAAACTGCTTCTCCTAACTGAAAAAATAAAGCTCATATTTGTGATATGTTGTTCGAGTAGCACATGTTTTATGTTCACAAAAGTGAACACTTTACAAGAAAGATCATTCAAATGTTGGCTTGCACATATTATATTCAACTTCACCAAGAAAAAGGAAATTAGTTTTTTTAATTAATTAATTAATTAATTAATTAATTTATTTATTTATTTATTTATTTATTTATTTATTTATTTATTTATTTATTTAATCAGGACAGTGCACATTAATGAACAATCTCATACAGATTGTAAATGAGCCAGATTCTAGCATAGTTGCTAGTTTACATCTGTCGTCCTGAGGCAGGAAGACCAAACAACACAAAATCACATAATACAAAATCAGTCCAAACACACGTTTAGACAATGACATTACAAAATTAAAATTAATTCAATTCAATTTCATTTCTATAGCGCCACATCACAACAACAGTTGTCTCACAGCGCTTTCCAAACAGAGCAGGTCAGACCCTACTCTGAAGTTAATTACAGAAACCCAACAATTCCCACCATGAGCAAGCACTAGGCGACACAGGCAAGGAAAAACTTCCTTTTAACAGGCCGAAACCTCGAGCAGAACCATGGCTCAGGGTGGGGGTCCATCTGCCTCGGCCGGCAGTTCACCTTCACCTCTAAACTATACCCTTGATAATACTCCCAAACACTCTAACCTGGGTGCTATGGTCATCAGCTGAGATTAATGCATGCCTATTTGAATTTCAATTCAATTAAATTGTATTTATATAGCACCAAATCGCAGGAGTTATCTCACAGCGCTTTCCAAAAAGAGCAGGTCAGACCCTGATCTGAAGTTATTTACAGAAGCCCAACAATTCCCAATACCTCTGCATTTAAATGTTTGTTCTGTGGCCAAACAAGTTCTAACCACCCAACATTTTTAATGCTTTTATCAACCTATCACCTAAAACCAGTTTGGCTCTGTTTAATCTTTGTATTATTGTGCTTTTTTGTACAATCTGATATGTTTTAAATGAACCATACACAGGGTCCTATGACCAACTAAGGAACACTGGTTGGTGATGAATCCTCACCAACCAGTGATCCTTATTAAAATGCTGCATATTGGACAATTGGAACTAACCAGTTGAATATTTTCTCTCTTTAGCCTGTGACCAGCTCTCTCTGGGGGTGGCAGCCATCTTCGGTCCCTCTCACAGCTCCTCCGCCAACGCAGTCCAGTCCATTTGCAATGCTCTCGGGGTCCCACACATCCAAACCAAGTGGAAGCATCAAGTATCAGACAACCGGGATGTGTTCTACGTCAGCCTCTTCCCGGACTTCTCCTCCCTCAGCCGGGCCATCTTGGACCTAGTCCACTTCTTCAAGTGGAAGACAGTCACGGTGGTTTATGATGACAGCACAGGTAAGACTAAAAAAACAACAAAATCTGGTTTACTTTTATACTTTAAACACAGTTTATTTCTATTTTTACATCCAAGCAGCCCAGAACCGTGTTTTTACTGGCTTTTGTGTTTGTCCCTGTTCTGATTAAAATCCATAGTTTATGCTAACAGAAAAGCTTTGTTGAGATATTTGGTCACATATACAAACTGACATTGTTGCCCTAATATTATGGTAAAGTGAAATAAAGTGATATAAAAATATGAACCCTTAATTTCACAATAATCTATTATACGCATAGAAAAAACTCAACAGCCTATACTACAAGAATATAAAGTCTAACACGTTCAGTGCAAGATCAATTATATTTCAAACTATGTTCTTCATAACCAATGCTAAAATTAAACTAATTTAAATTCAACTGACTTCAGACCTCTATCGTCAACGGTATAATTTTCAGTCTGAGTTACAGGTGTTCACTATATTAACAGACCAGAGGAACATAACGCTATCAGCCAAATAATACATTCTAAGTAGGTAATACTAATATCTTAAATTATATCAGTATGTTAAAGGCTTCAGCATAAGTCAGGATAAGAGTATTGTATTAGATCTTATTTAAGTGATCTTCAAATGGCACATTTTGCTACCGTAAAGAGTAAACTGGGTGGTGGTTAGCACCAGCACCATTATGTCACAACAATGGGGTCCACAAACCGTCTACTGGTGGCCTCTCCATGTAGAAGTTTGCATGTTATCCCTGTATAATTCTTGGCTTCCTCCTTATTTTCTGCCTTCTTCCTGTCATCCAAAAACACGCACGTTAGGTTAATCATCATCCCTAAATTGACGGTGTGAATGACAATAAGCATTCATGGTTTCTTGTCTCACTCAGCCTTGTCCAATGATGGTTGGAATTGGCTCTATACCTCTATAAAGCTTAATTGGAAGGTAGTGTTGGAGATAGGTAGAACTGATTTAAACAAGTTGAGCAAAACTTCCATTTCTTTAAAAAAAACTGCCTAAACATGCAGCAGATGTGTTCAGGCTTTGTATCTTTTCTGCATGTGTAGGTTTGGCTAGACACAAACGCTCCACACATTTCCTAAACTTCAGTTTGTTTGAATCTTTGAGTGAAAGTCGTGAAACATAAGTTCAAATGAAAAAGGTAAAGTCCCCATGGGGGTGATTTCATGCACGTTTTGTTTTTTCAGAGGGTTAAATGTCTCAGAATCGCTATCTAAAAGCTAGAATTTAGATACCATCTGCTCTAATAAAAGGAAATTTGACTATACTGATATTATACATAACTCCCATGGAAAAAAATTTGTAAAGCACAGAATTTCTTGAATGTTTTGTCTCACAGTCCACAGCTTCCACTTTGGTTATCAACTCAGTTCTTTGCTGCTCCATGTATACTCTGACAAGGAGAGTGATCTCATTAATTCTGTTTGTAACCACACTGACTGACACACGGCAAAGCTGCAGAGTCATCAGAGTGTTTATGAAGATAACAGGACATATCATAATGGACGTGGCTTGTAAAATGGTGAGATGGATGTTGAAGTTGTACTGAGTGAGAAGAAATAACTCTCCCTGGTGCTCAGGAGCTGCTAACCACTTTCTCAGATACACAAGACGGTGTTCTTTTTGGCATGTAACACTGTCGGTTGATTTGAATTTATGGCACTGAGGAAGTCAAATTTACTCCGACAATTTAGCCTGGCTTTGTCCAGAAAGGGCTCAATGAAGCAAAACTTTTCAGCTCCAGCCCCAGAATAATGAGAAGTCTCTACCAGGCTCTTAAAGGTGTCCCCTTGCACACAGATCAAACTAATTACTCTATGGGGATGACATGCATAGGCCACTCTGGAAGGCGCTAGCTGATGGTTGAAATAGGCATCTCTTTGTTAGATGGTAGCTACCGCTAATTTGTTTTGTATCTGGCTGAAAAGATGTATCAGATAGCTGAAGAAGGCCTTTTCTAGAATCTAAAAGAATGCAACATCGTTTAGTCAAATGTCTTCCTCTGTTCTTATCAGCCTTATATATTCTCTCTGACCAATCATACGTCCTCAGCGGCAGCTTTTTGTTTTTTATCTGAAAATTAGCGACATTGACGACAGCAGCAGCTTTTTGAAAACAACTAAAAAATAAAGCAGGTGTATCAAACAAAGGATGCTGCTCTGTTTTTTTATTTCTCCTTGTGGTTGTTTAGCACTCTTTAGTTGGTGGGGGGAAAGCATACACACTTGAAATCGTAAATAACATACACATATTTCAGAAGAACATGAACCTGTTTGGAACCGGATTAAAACGGCAACTGTAATTAAGATTTGCTTCATTATCATTATTCATCTTGAATTTCTCCACTGTATACATGCAAAAACATAAAAGTAGAATAAAGCTAGGCGCTGAAAAGTTTTCATGTCTTTCCAAAGATGTTTTATAGGCTAAGTGTGTTTGATTCATAATATACATGTAATTATGCAATTCTAAAAATGACCCGGAGATAGGGAAAAATATCTCATTTTTAGAATTACGACTGGCCTAGGAAGTCAGTCTGTTGATGGTTTTTAAGTCATTTTAAATAGTGCTTATATTTTATTGTGACCTTCCCCATATCTGACACAATGTTTTTTCAAGTTTATGACAATTTATCCTGAAGCCTGATAAGGAGCTCTGACAGTGTTTTTTTCATCTTTATATGTGCAATTTGCACAGCTCATTGATCCATTATTTGTTCCCTGTCATCAGCATGTGTGATATCAGCACAACACTTAAAAAAAAAATCTATTCTTTTAATATTCATGGAAAGAGACCTTGTACGTTCCCCTCCAATTTTGCAGAATAATAAGCCAGCAGGCTCAGTTCTTGTTCCATATGCCAGAGGTCAGGGAGTGTGCCAGTCTGGTGACCAGCTGCCAGGCCTCCTCCAGCTCCATCCTGCTGATGTGCTGGGCCCGGTTCATATCACTGCCGTAAACGTTCACTCTCTTTAGCATTACGGACATCTAACCCAGACACGTTTAACCATTGTGTGGTGTTCATATTGTTGTTACTCAGCCAGTGTTTGTGGGTCTGATGGACACCTTTCATTTTGTGGCTTTTAATGCCTCAAAATCAAACACTTTTATATTAAAATACTGAACAGATGTTTACCTTATCTTGACTTCTCTCTCTCGTCCAAAATCAATTCCAAGGCCCTCCGGGCAGAGAACCTGTCGGCCATTTTGATCGGTTATAAGAAACCACTCTGGCAAAGCTGTGCCAGTGTGGCCCCGCCCCCCATTTTTAGCAGATAGACAGAAAATTAGAGCAGACAAACAATGTGAACTATTTGGGAACTATTTGTTTTGGGTTTGTGCACCTGCAGTTCCCACACAAGGGTTGCAACATTGTGAGTGCGTGTCTGTGTGTGGTTCACAGAACATCAATTACCACACTTCTTTTAGCCCCGGGTCCAGTGGACCCGAACATCTTATATGAAATAGAAATGTGTAGGGGGGGTGAATTCTGATATATGTTCTTCACAGAAAATGAGCCAAAGCCAGTGAGTCTCAGTTTGAAAAATGTATTCATTGTATCATTTTTCTTTTAGTAAAAAATGAAAACGGGTCCCACAGACCCGAACACCACACAAGAGTTAAGACACAGTCAGTTAGCTCTTTTAGCGATTGATATTTTCAGAATATAGGGATCAAAGAAACCCTGTCAAATCAGAGTGATATAACCTATGTATTCAGACTGGAAAAGTATTATTAAAACTATTTTTTGATGAATATCTACTTGTTTGCTGTTTATATAAAGCCAGATTTACTGTGGTTATGACTAGGAACGTCAACCCTTGAGTCGTGTGCTAAAAATCAATGCTGTTTGCACGCCTCCGTTCAGAAGTAGCATTCTCCAGATTGGTCTCCTCCTCTCTGAACTGAGCGGCTGTTTCACGGTTCTTGGTGGTCTTCCCGACAAAACACAGACACATGCAGACACACACAAACACAACTCACACTATTTTCTAAAAAAGGACTCTTTTGCTCGCTCTTCTTCACCTCATCTTCTATCAAAGTTACAGTTTTACTGGTACTGTTCCACGTCATACACCAATACATGCAATATATACCGTATATATACAGGTCATAGTTAATATAGGTCTTATCATATATCATATTATTATATAGTAGTAAAACATGTAACCCCCGTTTTATTACTTACACAGCTTTTTCTTCTTTTTGTGGTTTCAATGTATGATGAGATGATACGATCAAGGTGTATCTTTAGTCTACATTTGATTCCCAGATATCCCCAAGACAGATGACACTGTGTTAGAGAAAAAAGCATACAGTCAAAAGAACAAACTTTCTTCACTGTCTAACATGCAGCGGACTACAGTGAAAGTGTCAGTTTGGATAATCTGCTCTGAAGGAAGCAACAAGAGAAGTTTTTTTTTTTTTTAATGAAGAAATTAGAATTGCTAAACTTTTTCAGCAGTATGAACAAATGCTTCTGTAGGGAAAAGTTATTGCTTTTGCATAAGAAAATGTTTTGCCACACAATTCTGGAGTCGTAACAATCCAAGCCACAAGCCACAAAATCAAAAAAGGTTAAATTAACTTCGTATAAACGTAATAATAATCTCAATATTTTATTATAGAATTTGTCGAAATGATGATGTCAAAAAATTCAAGAACCTTATATTATGTGTCTGATAACAGAAGAACTTCAAGTTATATCAAACATAGATACTATGAATTTAGCTGGAAGAAAAACTAAAGAAGATAGAGGAAATAATGAGAGATGGAGTTTTCTTCCAATAGGGGACACTGTTCTATAAACTTCTCTTAAAGTAGACGAGATGGGAACCTAAACCCACAAAATAAGGGAATGTGTTATGTGTTCATGTGACAGGCTGAGGAGTGCATTCCTGTAGGCACTTTTAGGGGAGAATCGATTGTTGCTGATCCTGCCACCTCTGTTAATTAAGCTGTAGCGTGGACATAGTTTGTTCACTCTGGGGTTAATAACGACTTGATTTTCTGTCTTGTTGAT